CGTAAAAAGACAGTATAAGTCATTATAATCCGTAATTATGTCCCCACTGGATGCAACAAATGCCTCGTTTATAATGGGTTTTATTGGTTTTGTCTCGTCGCTCCGGCCTGACAGAGCATCATCATCACAGTATGGTAAGGGGCGTAACATTTCCGTCACACGCTTGAGGTATTCGGCCAATCACAATGCACTGGATAGCTGGCCAATCAGAGCACACCTCGCTTTTCAGACCGATGAGTTTTGTAAAAATCGACGCGTTTCAGAAAGGCGGGGCATAGAGGAGCAACAATAATGTACAGTATGTGGAAAATAATGTGGTTTTTGAACCTTAAACCTCATAAACACATTTCATTACACCAAATACACAAAATAATGTTCTTTTTAGCAGCATCATATGACCCCTTTAAGAATAATTCAATTCATTTTCACTCAAATTCAGTGAAAACATTACAGAGAAAAGACAATAAACAGTGCAGTTTTTTTCTTCTTCTTTTTTTTCTGTTTGGTTAAGATTAGTTGTTTAAGTGCATGATATTCTGGTAGTCGATGGAAGCATTAAATATGATTGTTATAAAATTATCAACATCATTGCTGGGTAAGTTACTCTAATTAGTAAAAAAGTACTAGCTACTAATTACATTTTCAACAGTGTATAATTAGATTATTGTACTAATTATTTAAACTATAATGAACAATGTAGTGAACATAAGCATTTTTTAAATCTTGATTAATTTTTAATATATTATTTGATTGATTGAAGATGACTGCTACAATACAAAACATACATCATAAATGAAGGTAAGGTTTTACCTGTCTCTGAAACGGTTTTAAATCAGATCAGAGAAGTCCAAGCAGTTTGAGCTGGTTTCGAGAAACTGCTGTAGCTTTCCAGATGTGTCGGCTACCATGTGTATCAATTACAGCAGTGCAAAATGTACTGGTCAATTACAAGTACAACACATTGTTCCTAAGCATATTTATAGAACCACAGCCACAGGAAGCATGCTTTGCACTGGATTGCCATTTTGCCCTGTAGTGACATCTGTATTGATCTGCACTGATCAATAACCTGTGCAACTATGCCTCTTTCCAACCAAAAGACACACTGATTTACAAGGCGTAGCTTTTGAAAAGGTACTTCATATTCTTTCATGAGAAGGCCAAAGGCATTACAGACAAGATCAGGTTATTGTGGACTCAGAAACTCATTCTCCGGACAGAGATCGAAAGATGTGTGCGATCTTTTATTCTTCACATCTCGTAAGGCTGGGAAGCGGTTCACCAGCAGCTCACAAACCGCGAAATGCTTCTGTTCAGCAGCCTGTGTGCACATACAATCACAAACACACTCAGAAACTAGCATCAAGTAGTCTGCTACTTAAAACCAACATAACAAGCTCTACATAAAAAAGCACTTTTATTAAGAATGCATCAGGTTGACTAGTTGTACCTTATGAAGTGCTGTAGATCCATCATCATCAGTCAGACATGGATCAGCCCCACGGTCTAACAGTAACTTGAGCACACTGTGGTGTCCGCAGTAAGCCGCCCTATGAAGCGGGGTTGCCCCACCACGGGTCTGGACGTTCACACAAGCGCCACAGTCCAGGAGTAACTCACACACTGACAGCTGACCTGCTCGACTAGCATAATGCTGCTCCAAAAAAAAAAGTAGTACCTGTGAATGGGTTATGCATTATGAAATGATTGTAATTAATAATGTTTGCATTAATGGTGAATTGTAAAATTAACAAACCAAAGCAGTGTAGTTTGCCTGGTCCCTCATATTAGGATCAATCCCTTTTTTGATAAATGCCCTGACTCTCTCCACATCTCCATCCATTGCAGCTGACCATACACCTACAAACAAGCAATTCACATCTTTCTGATATAACGTTACCAGTATGGGGTGATATGATGATATATATGAACATGCAAGCAGTAATGTACCTCTCTCAAAGTCCATCTCCTCTAGAGTCTGATAGACGCTTGCTGTTGAGCGGTGGGCACTACAGGTGCATTGATTTCCATGGGAACCCATCCTACGTTTAGTATGAACTGTATTAAGTATCACAGATACGTCCAACATACTTCATGTGTTAGTGACAATGCGTTCAGCTGTTAGTCACATTTAGCTGCCTGATAAAGTAGCAAGCAAATATGCCAGGTTATAATAAGACGAACATTTGACACGTTTGCGTTTTGTTTAAGGAGTTCAAATTCTGATGAACGAACATCTGTTTCTGTGTGTATAAAACTGTCATTACCTGCACATGGGTTGTGAAAGAGCGGCTGTGAAGACAAGCAACTTCTGCGCACAACAAACGGACGGCCTTTCAAAATAAAAGTCACGCGTAAGTGACAAACCTTCGGATTTTGGTTGCTCTGGTCCTGGTTTCTATTTTTATTTTTTGGTCCAATTTTAGTTAAACAAAAATAAAATAAAAGTTTTGTGAGCACATATGGGTGGCCGTTTGGGTGCCCATATTATTTTGACAGACAGAAATAGAGAGAGGCAGACAAGACAGACAGAAAACCTGAATAAAATGTTTCCTGTTCACTCTAAAATAATACTAAACCTAACAAGATTTCAAGGGAATATTCTGTGATGAATATCTTAAGCTCTGCAGCATCTATGGCATGCCGTTGATGAACTTACCACAGAAAATGTAGTTCCTCACGTGAAGTTACAGTATGTGTAACTTCTGCTTTCTCCAGTATATATGTGTGTGTGTGTGTGTGTGTGTGTGTGTGTGTATACATACACTACCAGTCAAAAGTTTTTGAACAGTAAGATTTTTAATGGTTTTTAAAAAAAGAAGAAGTCTCTTCTGTGCACCAAGCCTGCATTTATTTGGTCCAAAATACAACAAAAGCAGTAATATTGTGAAATATTTTTACTATTTAAAATAACTGCTTTCTGTTTGAATATATTGTAAAATGTAATTTATTCCTGTGATCAAAGCTGCATTTTCAGCATCATTACTCCAGTCTTCAGTCACATGATCTTCAGAAATCATTCTAATATGCTGATTTACTGCTCAAAAACATTTATTATTATTATTAATATTTAAAACAGTTGAGTAAATTTTTTTTCAGGATTCTTTGATGAATAGAAAGATCCAAAGATCAGCATTTACCTAATTAACATCAGCATTTATTAATAATAGAAATTAACTTTTATTCAGCAAGGATGCTTTAAATTGATCAAAAGTGATGATAAAGACATTTATAATGTTATAAAAGATTTCTATTTCAGATAAATGCTGTTCTTCTGAAACCTAAAAAAATTATACTCAGCTGTTTTCAACATATATATATATATATATATACACACACACACACACACACACACACACACACACACA